TGAAGTGACATGAGTTTGACCCCCTAGCTGCTTGCTCTGGAACTGCGGGAAGGTTTGTTGAAAATATTTAAAGGAGGATAGCTCAAGAACCAATTAACGGATCGTCGTAATTTTTGGTATGTAGGTAGCTTGAGTGATTCTTGATATAATAATATTAAATGCAAATACGGATGAAATTTGCGTAATTTATGAAGACATTCTATAAATCAGCTGCATTCCATGATAGGACTATTGAAGCTTGTGATATATGTAATTAAGAACGAGAGAAACACAGGCAGATATCGATTATGCAAATAAAGACTCAATTTGCATGATTAATGAGAAAATGTTTCAAAGTGGTAACTGCCTGGAATTTCATACATGGGCATTTGAAAGTTAAGTGAAGGTGAACGTAATTAAACATAACTTATTCAAATAAATATTCAATTGCATAATTTATAAGGAAATGATAGATTGACATTCTTTGTTAATATAAGACTATCTTTTGGTGTAGAATATGATCAACAGATATAATTCATGCAATTAGGATCCATTTGCAGAAGGCAAATGCATCCTAATCAGGGGGCTTAGTATTTGCATAATCATGGGGATTAGTATTATATAAAGTCATAGTCATAAAGGCTAACATCATTTGGCGAAGGTATGAGATCGTGGACTCTAGTTAAGAAAGAGTTTCGTGAGTTTCGTTTCGTACACTCCTCCATGTGCACTATTCCGCCCACAGTAAGTTCAGGGCACACTGTACATAAACCAGATGTTTCACTGCAGTACCATAGAAATCCCATTCACCGATATTGAACGTACATGTACCCTTTATTTTGCCAACAGTAGCTGTTTGCCTTTGGAGTTATACTTTCCATAACCCCACACTTAGAAACATATCCTCCGTATGAGGTTTCCTATCGAACTGTTCATCTTTACGCAGTGTTTGTTACACGCGACAAAAAAGAGACAAGGAATAGTGAGACTAATGTGGAGGCAAGAATCGAAGATGGTTTTTCAAAACAGTGGTTTAGTATCAAGCTTGGCATCATTGTGGTGTGATTTACACTCGTTGTCAATAAACGCAATGATAAAACATGGTTAAACTGGAGATGTCCAATAAATTGACATATTAGCATGAAAGTTTATCATTATGACAAAAAGTTCTAAACGTTCTTGCCAACACTGAGTAACTATGATTGGGACTTACCCCAAATTTTCAGCCGACTCCGTCAGCCTTGTTCACGGAATGAACCCTTCTACTGCTAAGGTCCCAATTGCGCCGGTGCCCGTCGGGGATATAGCCCCGGCCGGTCCCGGTCGGGCTCAGGAGTCGGGCGGGCATCGGCTGTCGTGGTCACAATAAAGTTTCCTTCAGTAGCATTTTGTTAAAAATTTTGTCACCCTCTTTGGTCGGTCTCCGGCAGGCATCCGGTAGGTACCTGGCAGATTCTCTGACGATGTCTTGTACTGACCTATACGTAATGCAGAATTCACGCTTTTGTTGTGATCATTTGATCTGTGACGTAACAAATGTGTCCCGGTGGACTGCCGGCAACCGGAGGGGTACCTGTCGGTGTTCTCACGGTGAGGTCACGGTGTCTTTTTGTCCGCGGGGCCCGGGTAGAATTTAAGTCAGAATTCAATTCTTCTCGGGGCCCAAAAATAGCCCGATAGCCGCGGGATGTCCCGCGGAGCCACGTAAGGGTCCCGCCCGAAAGTACCAAAAGGCAGCTCGGGAACTACCCGCCAGGGCCCCTTTTTCCAATTGGGACCTTAGCATACTGTAGCTTCCGGGGCGTGACGTCGGAAACACGTGATTGCAGCGAAGGGTCGTACGTGTTAGATAACCTGTGTCGCCCCCCGTCTCTGTTCAGTGTTGGACAGTTGGCGCGAATGTACACCGCCTCCTTCACTCCTCTCGCAAAGAAATTCGGTTCTGAGTCCAGAATGTTTACAGCGAGACTGTCAGCGAGAGTGTCATGGAGATTCTATGTGTATATGTCGAGATACTTCTGAAGTAGTAGAACTCGGGCGTTGGTGTTCGAGAAACCGTGTTTTTAACGAGCGTTCTGTTTCATCGATGTATGTTTCTTTACACTGTCCCTTGTTTGTTACACCCTGGCAAGAGATGTGGTAGACCACTCCACATCTACTTACCTTGGGTGTTATGTCCTTTGGAGCGACCAGGATTTTTGTTAGAGTCCGAGTCGCTCTAAAGCAAGTCTTGATGCCATATGTACCGAAAATTCCCAGTACCCTTAATGTAAGATAATACTACAAAACCCTTGTTAGGTTTTAAGGAAGCCGTCTTCTTGATCTATACAGATTTGGCTGATTTTGGTGTTGTTGCTTTATCAATGGCCCAATCAGGGTATCCACACAGTTTTAAAGATTGAATCACATGATCTTTCTCTTTGTCCTGAGGATCAGTGATAATAGTTTCCGTACAAAGTACGCATAACTCCTAATTTGTGATCTAGTGTGTGGTTGGAAGAGAAATTCAGGAACTGGGTTATCTTCCTGTAAATTTTACTTTGGAGAGAACCGTCTTCTTTCACCACTGACAAAGTGTCCAGAAAGGGTAAAGAATTGTTCTGTTGCGGATCAAAAGTGAAGTTAATGTTTGGGTTTAAACTGTTAAAACGGTCAGTGAATTCATCAGCGTACGCCTTCTTCAGTTTGGCATAATGCGTATCATCAACATATCTATACCACAATAGAAGTCTGGACTCAGAACCGGATTTCTTTGCGAGAGAAGTAAAAGAAGCGGTGTACACTCGGGCCAACCGTCCAACACTGAACAGAGGCGGGTTATCTGACGACTTTCCGACGTCACGCCCCGGAAGCTACAGTAGAAGGGTCGACCCATTCCGTGAACAAGGCTGACGGAGTCGGCCGAAAATTTGGGGTAAGTCCCAATCATAATTACTCAGTGTTGGCAAGAACGTTTAGAACTTTTTGTCATAAATTGACATATATGACAATACAGGCCTCTCAGTAAAACACACGATAGCAAATCATGGACAGTTGGAGAATTCTAGAAATAAGCTCTCTATCTTTTCAGATTCGCTCATTTTGCTCTCCTTGGTCATCAGTGTAGAATAGAGTTATGAACTTTGAAGACGCATCTGTGGATATGATATAGCCAAGTTAGAGTGCCATGCACATAAACATTAAGAGATATAAACATTGATGACAATTCAACTGTTTATCAGCGTGACTATTGTATATGGCCGGTAAGTTTGTCTTCACTTGACCTGCTTTAAGGACATGTGTTTAGTTTAGATGTTAACAGAATTGTTTCGATGTTGCTGACTAGAAAGTTCATGTCGAATGTTATTTTCCCGGCACATCCCTCCAGGAGGAGCCAACAGGCGACTCTTGTCTCAGCCTTCACCACCTGATGTTAAATGTCACCAGCATCTCTCGGAACTCTGGAGAACGGGAAACAGACACTTGGTAAATGTCATGAACATAAACATAATTATCTGTACTGAAAGGTACTGGGTGGGACCCGGAGTTGATTATTTAATGATAATCCCATAGTTTTTTTTAGTTCATTCATGAATACATCTGCTCTGCTTCTTTCCAAGCTAGTTACAAGAACCGATGTTGATTCAAAAAGCCTCAGGGCAACGGTGTAAAAACTTGTTTCAGTTATTCCTTTATTAGAAACCAGAGTGATCCTGGTCCTCCAATATGGACTACCCCAAGTCACCTTTTATAAAGATGGACCATGATTTCAACATTAAAATGGTGCAAAGATAGACCATTCTGAAATAAATACAGATACTGATATCAAAGCCATTTCGACCTGACCGCACTTTTGTCTAGTGACAGCGGATATATGTTGATTTTATTTCTGCATTAAATACATATAGCGAACTCTGTTCATATAGCAAACAAATCTCCAGACGCCAATGTACTGGGGCTTTAAGAAAAGACAATCCAACATGCTTTTCAACACAAGCTTTCTCCCGGTCACTAGCTCAGTAGACTGATTCAGCGAGACTTGTCACGTGACGTGTAACGTCAACACTGGGTCAAAGAAGGTCAAAGGTCTCTAGTAAACCCGGTGTTGACGGTGAAGTCACGTGACATGTCTCACTGGGTCAGTCTATTGAAAAAGATCAAAGTGACCGGTCGATCAAAGTGACTCTAGGTGAGAATTATCTCTTGTGTTGAATGAATAAATATGTATGTAACTACAAACACAGATGAACAACATTCCAACTTCATGTAGATGTACGTAGCAGGACCAACCATCTAGATCCAGCCTGCCATCCCTGTTCGTGTCACATTCGTCCAGAATTTCTTCCATTTCCTCCTCCGTCAAATCCTCGCCCATGTCGTCCAGGTAATCCTGTAACAAAGTAACGTTAGCTGAACGAGACAGAATGGCAGACAATCCCTAGCACGTTATATATTGTTTTAATTGCGTGCATGTCGTTCGATACGAATATTGTGCACTACGTATAATGCCACTACCTTAAATTCTCTTCCCGAAATGAAACCGTCTCTGTTGGTATCGAACACCTGGAAGACAGCCCGAATCTCGTCGTCAGGAAGTTCAGACTTCTCCTCTTTCATGATCTTCGCCATCATCTCCAGGAACTCCTCGAAGTCGATCGTGCCGCTTGCTTGAGAGACAAGAAGACTTTCGGTCAACGTTAACGAATGAGTGTAACAGAGTGATACACACACATATTAAAAAAAACCTCTCACATTCATTCCGTCTTTTTTGCGTGATAATTCCTGCAAAACCTTTCGTTTCATAACGGTATTAATGATAATAATTCATTTACAACCAAGGCTTGAAATACCCGGTGATTTTGCTAAATTCGTGGCCAGCCGTGCGGTGTGGCATATATCTTCTTCCTACTGTTAATCTGGAGCTTTATCCTTTTCTGGTGTGTAATGGGTAAATTAGCTTAGCAACATCATATGCTTACTAAACTAACGTTAAACTATGACTATGAAAAATCGTATTATGAAAAAAGTTTTACAATTCATCTTCGAGCCTTTTGACATGATACACATACGTCGACATGAATTGGATCGTATGGCCGCTATGTAATATGGAAATTCCTTTATCAGGTTTAAGCATACAATAGTAATGAGCAAAATTTCTGAAGTAGATTTTCCATTTTTACCAGGCGTTTTGCGGGCTGGGTATGGTCCGTTTTGTAACGCGGGCCCCGTGCACTCGCTGACTCGGGCGAGCAAGTACAAGGATCTCCGTTAGCAAAGCGGATTTTGTGATTGTGATAAATAGGAGCAAGGCAAGAACTTTTTTCATGCAGAACTTAAGATTAAGGTCAAGTACTAGTAACTTGGCAAATTTCTTACCATCTACATCTACCTCATCAATCATATCTTGCAGCTGGTCACGTGACACATTTAGTCCCAGCTTCTTCATGATGGTCCCCAGTTCCCTGGTGCTGATGTCACCGCCTCCGTCAGCGTCAAACATGTCAAACGCCATCTTGAACTCTGGTCAAATCATAAAACTGGGCATTTCACATTGAGCTGCGAAAACAAGTGCAACTAGGCATCCTTCGGTAAACGCAGACCACCCCGCCCTCATGGAGACACACGTTTTTTTCAGTCTTTCATTAAGCCACTGTTTAACCTCCTACTCGGCCATCAAGAGTAGTCAACGGTTGAGGTATGAAGAATCGGTCAATATCTCGAGATCTGGACACGCAAGGGTCATGATTTTTTAGGTAGGTAGGCTCGGAAAGAAGTGGCATAAGTTTGGGTCTCCTAGCAGCTTGCTTGGGAACTACAGGGGCGTTTGAAAACATTTGAAGGAGGCTAACTCTAAACCTGGTCGACGGATTTGACCTAATTTACATATTTGTGACTCAATTTGCATAATTGTGACATAAGTAATTAGAGGAAGAGGAACATTAGCAGATTGTGACCCAATTTGCACAAAGAAAAAATTCAATGATTCCATACTGATAAATGGCGGGAATTTCAAACTTGCGGCATTCGGAAGTCAAGTGAACATAAACAGCATCAAAAATAACTTATTCAAATCATGGCCTAATTTGCATAATTTATGAGGAACTGCTAGAATAGTTTTCTTTGTTAAAAATGAGACTGTCATTGATTATCTTATTTGCATAATCAATGAGACAATAGAACATTTATGATTCGTCAATCATAAAGGTTAACATTTAGTGAAGTTATGATGTCGTGCAACTCTAGTTGCATTAGTATATTGTTTGCTTCTCAAAAGAACGTCATTTGCGAGCAGTGGCGTCATTAGCAACATTTGATTGAATTATCTGGCTACAGAAATAAAAAATTGGAAGGATGATTTGTGAAATTCGATGTTCCCTAACATTCATTGAATGATTCCTATCATCCTAACAGTTGTATTTCAGTGTTATTTGATTCATACAGTCATAAACTAGTATACAGTATCCGCTCGTAGAAATAAATGCGCTATGCACATGAAGCTAGTTAACTAGGTTATGAAGTTAGGGTCTCATTTGCATACTTGAAGAGGACATACCTTTGTATTTAGATAAGACTGCCACTGGACAACTGTTGTTTGAGTGAAGAATATGACCAAATGGCATGATGTATGTAAATGAAGACCTCATTTGCATAATTTATGATAAACATTTATATTTCGTCAGTTAAAAAGTCACTTGGCAAAGGTATGAGGTCGAAACATACAGAACGTACCTGCAATTTGCTCCTCGTTGAACATTTGCCTTGCAGTGTCCGCCTAGGGTTGATCCATAGAACAATAATATTAGTATCTCAAATATTTCCTGCTGATCTGATATTCTTTGATATTCTATTTTCATTGGGAACACTATCTTCTGTAATCATTACCTCCAACGAGTAGATCATAGATAAGAACGCAGGTTAACTGTGGTTGAGTGATAGTAGGGTGTGTTATGTGGTGGGAGGTGTATGATCGATGTTCGAGTCGATGTGGTTGATGAATTGGTTCTCCACGAGTATCCCAGCATTCAGAAGCAAGATATCGCATGGATTACCGGGGCGAGTAACGTTTGGATATTTTGGTCCCTGACGAAGTGACTGTTGCTGATTTTTGCCCTGCTGAGAGCAGATCAAGTGATAGCCACATCATTCTGTTGTGTTAATTTTCAAATGAGGTCTGCAAATTTCACATCATTTCAAAAATTTCTTTTCCTTCTCAATCGGGTCTGAGTCTTCCTTAGCAGTTTTTTGATAAACAGCTCCAGCTGACAGAGACAGGCCTGTAGACAAACTGGCAAATTATTTTGACCCCAGATTAAACATTACTTCTCAGGGGTTCTATTGACTTAACAGCCATGTGCAGTTGGCACTAAAATCCCAGTGCGTAGGTGGAGAAAGAAAAATAAAGAAACATAGCATCGCATGTACACAACACCAAATTACTCAAGCGTAGCATTACCAATTTTGTTTACCTCCGTCATGGTTATCCAACCTTCGCCAAGAAGGGCATGTTTTTCGGTGTGTGTCTTTTTGTCTGTCTTTAAACACGTTACCTCGAAAAGGCTTGAATGGTATATCTTGATATCTAGTAGGTAGGAGACCTCCAATAAAATGATTAGATTTTGGACACCTGGTGGCTTGTCGTTGTTCTGCAGCGGAACGTCCGGTTTAATATCCCGGACATGGTAGCGTCACGGCTTTTAAATGGTAGATAGCTTTTGTGCTCGGAAAGCGTGACGTCAGCAGCTTGTTCTGGAACTGCAGGGGCCTTTGCTTAAAAATATTTAAAGGAAGATAACTCAAGAACTGGTTGGTGGATCGTGGTGATTTTTGCTGTGAAGGTAGCTTAAGTGATGCTAAATGGCAATTATGTGAATCGGGCTCTAATTTGCACAATCACTGGATGCATTCTATGACTCAAAATTTTGACATGTGTAATGGAGAACGTGATGAACATCGGCAAATATTATGTACATAATTGATGACTAAATGTTATAATTCTACAGTAGTAACTAATTTGCAAAACTGATGACTAAATGTTATAATTCTACAGTAGTAACTAATTTGCAAAATTGATGACTAAATGTTATAATTCTACAGTAGTAACTGCCGGAATATTATACTTGCGGCATTCAAAGGTGAAGGTGATTTGCATAATCAGGGAGAAACATTTCTAATCCGTCAGTTGTAAAAGTTAAAAATAATTTGGTCGCGGAACTCTAGCTGAGGTACTGCTTCCATATATATTATTCGTATTATTATCCGTATAATTTGAATACTTAACAAAGAAATGTTCATATAGGATTCTACCAAAGGAACATACCTTCACACCGACAATAAGTGAACAGTAATTTGGAGTGGGGAAACCTTCACTGGACAAAGATTGTGTTGATTAGAACCTTAATGACAAGGCATTTACAAGACATCTATTTCGTAGAGGTTTAAGGTCTTCTTGTTTTTCTCTGATTTCTCTGTATCTGTTTAGACCTTAGTCAGAATGATCCTGAGGACCTTGGCGAGAGTTTGAGTTTCTCGAGTGTAAAAATGCAAAACGTAACGTTATGCACGTATGATCTGTACGATGGTCGAACGTTATTAGCGTGATTATTGTTTACAAGGCAGATCGGGGCGTACTTCTTACGTGGTAGGTTTTCTACCATCCTTTTATAGCTTGAGGCGAGGCTGTCCATAAACTTGGCCCTCCATTTCACGTATCCCTTACCGTGTAGCGTCGACGTGACGGTCAGGACCAATTCCTCGACCTCGACATGCGGAAGCTTACATTGCACGCTACATTCTTTGAATCTTGGGGAGGGGCTCCAAATTGTTGTTTGCTATGGACTAAGAACAGGACAGGAAAATGTGAATGTTATTATCAAAATGCTGCACATTGGTAGTGTATATATGAGTGGGGCGAATGTTCGCCAGTGCCCCAGTGTGACGCATGCTAACTAGCCAGACTTTATTTCTGCCATCTATAACCACTGGAGCAGGAGCAATGGCCAAATCTGTTAGCTATCATCCGAAAGACCTTGCTGTGCAACAACAGCATGCAGGAACAGCACGGCCCATCCTATGGTTGGATTCTTCGTCCATTACTGAGCTGCACGTACATTTGTATGAAATTTGGTATGTGGTTTGGTCTTCAAAATATGGTCAGATTTTTAGCCCCTTCGTACTACAACTTGTTACTGCTAGCGGAATTGCCTGTTTTGGGCGGTAGATAGCCCTTGTACATGTGCGCGTGACGAGTTCTGACAAATTTAATCTACTGGTCCTCTCTGCTTTCTACCACAGCACGTTCTAGTGGCATTACTCCAACTTAAGTTTAGGATTATGCCAGTTTTGTGTGTTTGTCAAGTATTTTATGTAAGGAGACAAGAGAGTCTGAGACAAATAAATAAACAATACGTTAGGTCCCCTAGCAGCTTTGTTTTGAATTTCAGGAGTGATTTAGTTGCAGCTGAATAGATTTTCACCATTTAATTTTCATTAATAATGAGTCAATAATGAGGAAATGCTACTAACAATATCTTTCTGAAGATGGCACAACAGATGATTTTGGAATACGAAATGATGAATCCATATAAATCATAATAAAAGAACATTGTTTACATAATTGATAAGGCTACACTGCCTCCATGGTCAATAATGGGGGCTTTACATTTGTAACGTACTCAAGTTGTAAAAGCTAGCATTCAAGCCATCGTGATCGTTACGATAGTTATACGGAGAATATTTCTTCGCGAAGGTATAGGTTTGTGAATCCGGAGCTCTTGTTTGATTTAAACTTCGTCACAGTGAGGCGATAAATGCACATGAAGTCAAGTTGCGTCTGTTTCAAGGGCAGCACAATTGCGCAGACAAATGTTAGTGTTGAAGTGCAAAATTCTTTGTCCTCAAACAGTCCGTGTTAGTGACCTACCCTTGACGTTACAGCTGTTTAAATAGGACAACAGTCTGTGGGCAGAGGTGGGTTGGGCGATAGTTCAAATAAAATAACAGTCATCAAGGTCCTCAGGAATTGAAACAACGTTAGATGTGACGTAACTGGATTTATCAATCAAGTGAAAAAACTGAGTTTTAAAAATAAATACAGCCGTTCTATATGTCAATCACGACTCACACGCTGTTCTTATCTGATGTCGTTTGTATGCCACAAAGCGGCACTCCTCGCGTCACAGCGCGGCATGTTGGGATTGCTGCCATGACGTTGTGAATAAATGACGTGTAACCGATTCACTTCATAGTCCATATCTCTCTGATATACACGTACATAACACCTTCAGTCCGATGCTTTGGTTCGACCAGATTGACATTATCTGGGGGAGCACGCTTGACTTTGTACATTCCAAGTGATATCCTCCCAGGGGAGACAATAGACACACAGGCGATTACCTAACATGGTCTCCCCACTGGCGCTGGATTTCCTGTCATTCCACGTTAATACTTTAACACTTTAAACACTACGTATGGCAAGTAGAGTCATCACACGAAGAAAATCTATAATACGGTGTCATCTAACTGATTGATTTTCATCATGTCTCTTTATTTCTGATTTTGAAGTGACCTTCTGGATTGTAAGAGATTGACTACGACGTGCACATGTGCAAAGCGATGTCTGATTGGTTTACCTGACTGCAGTGAAATTCAAATTTCAATATATGAAATTGAACCATCACAAGTTAATTCTACATAAACAACTCAATGAAGTATAACGTCCAGTGTAGCGCTGTAAGCATTCAGAAAACGCTTGTTTAATCTTAGGGTGACCAGGGAGTTTACAGTAATACTTGTTTACCTTTACCCAGGAGCCATGGAGGTGAAGAGTACAAAGTGAGGCTCGGTAACTTTCAGTCGTTTGCTCCAAACTGACCCGGCTGGTCTACAGATACCTTCGACAAAGATTTGCGTCCATGTTGCGTGAATACCTGGACAAACTGCTTATGGAACAGAGCGACCTTAACTGTACAAAGGTGTCCCGTATCATACACTTATACCTGCTTTACTTGCTCTTCTTGGTAGATGACAAAATACCACTAACACATTTTTAAGCTTGGCATAAAACAAACCTTTTAGTTTACTCTTACCATTGAATAGATATAACGTTATAACGCATCATGAGTACGACGATACCATTAGATAATGTCAAGATTTAATTAAACTCACCATATCTGATGCAGATGGTTCTTCCTTCAGCTAACAACAAGGAAAGGGGGTAATAGATGGAAGGCTTTTCCTCAGTCAGTCTGATTTTGCCTGCGGTGCTGGAATGTGACTTTTGTACCAGCTCAGTCCAGTCCCGGGGGTCTGTACGTAAGGCTGCAATGCAGGGTATCTGTTGGACGGAGCCTGTGCCCAAGCAATCAGCCACTACCTTGGCTGTACTCCTTATATGGCCGCCGAGAAACATTCCAAGATTTTATCACCCACGGGTGAAATGGAGAATTCAAGCAAGTATAACTACACATGTTTTCCCCTTCTTGGTATATTTAACAGTGCGTTCGACTTTCTTTAACGATTCATCAGTGCTGTGCAAGATAGTTTGGATTATTTGACCGTGGTTCGTCCCACCCTTGGTAAAACGTGAACCTTCACCTAAGGATGGCGTTAATGTATCACACCTGATATCGTGGTTTGATCCAATAAATCACAAAAGCGTCCTCCCGAAGCATTCTTTCCTCAAGGTTGATAACATATGTCTGTTTTTCCAGTTCTGAGGGATTTATCCCACCCTACAGTATACCCGCTGTCAGAACACCGCGGCTATTCAAGTTTGAGGGGCGTGAGCTACAATTTCACTACGTGCAGCTGAACATGGAACGTGGCGACTGAGCCCACGTGCGCAGTTGTCTTCAGGGCTCCTTCCATACTGGCGATCCAAGATGATAAACGACTAGAGGATCATGGGACTGATCTGGCACGTACACACTACTTACCCACGTTAGACTGCGCATGCGTATACAAGGAAAACACGTGAGCCACTGTAGACCAGGTTTATTACAGGATTATGACCTCCCGGATCCTGCTACTTCAGTCACAAATTGGATTTGTAGCATTCGGTGAACAGACAACAGACTTCACAGGAAAAGTCTCCTTTCCTTATGTACAACAGTATAACACGAAGAATGGTGGCACAACCTGTCATCACATGATTTTTCTTAAACAATCCCTACACGTTTCCTAACAAATGTAAGCATCTATGAATGTACTAAGCTACAAACACGATCTACACAAAATAAAGTCAAAAACAAGTACGATTGTAGTGCAGAGTGGCGTGACGAAGTTGGGCCGTGGTCAGTCCGTCCGGAGCGGCCGGTGTGTTAGCTGGGTCCCCCGGACTGCGAGGGACTTCCTCGCGCATGCGAAAGGCTGTCAGTTGATTTGGAGATGGTAGATATGAGAGGGCGGCTGTACGTTTCTACCACCGGATCTTGAGTTCCTGGATGATCTCCTTCCACTCTGTAACAGGGGCATTGCCATGTTATATTGATCATTCTAAATCGTTTCATGTGTGTCACTGTGGATGGCAGGTAGGAATATGGTATTGAATACAAGTTATGTGTCCGTAGCTGTAACTGTAGTCAGGATTGAAACTTTAGTCAGATGTGAAAGTGTACATGTGTAGTTAGATCTGAAAGTGTAGTCAGATTTGAAAGTGTAGTCAGATTTGAAAGTGTAGTCAGATTTGAAAGTGTAGTCAGACTTAAAAGTGTAGTCAGGTTTGAAAGTGTAGTCAGGTTTGAAAGTGTAGTCAGGTTTAAAAGTGTAGTCAGATTTGAAAGTGTAGCCAGGTTTGAAAGTGTAGTCAGGTTTGAAAGTGTAATCAGATTTGAAAGTGTAGTCAGGTTTGAAAGTGTAGTCAGATTTGAAAGTGTAGTCAGATTTGAAAGTGTAGTCAGATTTGAAAGTGTAGTCAGATTTGAAAGTGTAGTCAGATTTGAAAGTGTAGTCAGATTTGAAAGTGTAGTCAGACTTAAAAGTGTAGTCAGGTTTGAAAGTGTAGTCAGGTTTGAAAGTGTAGTCAGGTTTAAAAGTGTAGTCAGATTTGAAAGTGTAGTCAGGTTTGAAACTGTGGGCAGATTTGAAACTAGTTAGATTTGATAGTCTAGTCAGATTTGATAGTGAAGTCAAATTTCATAGTGTAGTCATCCTCGATCACGCAGATTTGAAACTGTGATCAGATTTGAAACTGAGGGCAGATTTGACAAGGTTGAGGCTTGAATATCCCTGACTGTGTGTTATCTTGCATGTCTTCCAAGTCTTCCAAGAAGGGAGATCTTCCGTTATTGCGTACAAGACATGCCACAAGACGTGTCTCCAGTCCATACGGACTGAGTGACAAGCTGAAGGCACAGGGCCGGCCCAGTGCCAAGCCTGCGGAACGTCCCGACATCTGACGTCAGTCAACAAATTACTTTATTTTGGGACTTACAAATGAACAGGCAAATCTAAATCTAAGGCTTTGGTCACGTCTTGGCGTTTCTCGTCAACACACGAGCTACTACGATAGGAGGCTTTCCGACAGACCATGGATATGTTTACTTAATAAGTCACTGTCATATTGTCTGCACGGATTTTCTCACCCTTAATCAGGTACTAGAATAAGTGTTTTCGGATCCATTTTGGTTCCTTTTGCGGCCATTGTCATTTTCTAAAATACCACATTTTTATTGATATACCTTGTACAATTTGTAAAATTTAGTTACAGATTAACAAGTTATTGAATTATTAATTATCTACATCACGACTGTCCAAGATTTTAGATTCGCTGATTTCCAAAATCTAATCCCTGGCCTTTGATTTTAAAGATAGAACATTTCTTTAAAATCCTCTTGTCTGTCGATAAAGCGTTGTTCACAGTCCTGTTAACGATTATAAGGTTATATGTTAGTAAATATATTCTTGTGAAATTAATGTTGAAATTTAGGGATCAAAGGGGTGAAATCCACATGTCAAATTATAGTTCAACATTTTATTTCACGTTTATCCCTCGAGTATATATTGGTGCTGTAGTAGTAATGGTAGGGTGGTAGTAGGGCATGATGTGACTGCACTGCTCGGATGCGAGCGAGCTTGCCAGCCACTACTGCTTAGTTTTCTGTATCTAGACAGTATCTAGTATCGTTCACCAATAACAAGGTACAAGCAACGAAAACATTGAAATCATCCAGCGCGGTGACAACATTGCCACACGACTCTTACCCTCATAGTCGAACCTTCCGTCCCTGTTTCCATCATACTCGTCCATAAACTCATGGAGCTCATCATCTGTTAAGTCATCTCCAGCACACTCTGATGCTAGAGCCTACAGGAGGGAAGAGTACAAGGATATAATACTTATCATTAATAGAGGGATCAAATAAACCCAAAGCACTTTGGTATTTCACCATATATAAAGGAAAGCTTATTTTGCTTTTGTTAACAATTTATATCTGACGGGGAAAATGAAATTCAGCATCACAAGGTTCTAATGACAGTTGAATATGTTTATCGAGTTGACCATGACTAACCCTGAACTCATCCTTGTCGATGAAACCGTCTCCGTTCTTGTCCAAGACCTTGAAGGCTGCGCGCAGCTCGTCGTCAGGGATCTCCCGCTCACTGTCCTGCATGGCCCTGGCCATCATCTCCAGGAACTCCTCGAAGTCGATGGTACCGCTCCCTGTTAACAGATGGAAAATATGTTTTATAGCATCGGTCAACGGAGAATAAATCGTAAATTTCAAACTTCCGGTATGTAGGTATGGTTGTATTGTCTTCATTTATCAAAAACCCTTCTGACAAACGATTCTCCCCTTCACAAACACATGCCACTACAAACACATTCATCCCTCCACTACATCCAACACAACTCTCCTCCGTACCTCCGTAATCACGTGTCTGGGGGCGGGGCCTCGTACTTCTGATGGCGTGGCTAAATGATAGGTGTCTGGTGGACATGTTTTGTAACGCTTAACGTCATGTGCTTAACGGTAAATATTCACAAACTACACTTTGATATAAAAAGTTTTAACGATAAATTACGTTCCCTCTTCTTTGGATGAACAACTATCAAGTGAGCGGGAAAATAATGAGAAACAGATGCGCGGGCGTCCGACCAAGGACCACGCACTGATGGCGATAAACTCGCATGATTGATTATGACTGTAACATCATACTAAGGACATTATCGTACTGACTGTTCATGGACGTCATTTTCTCCATACACCGTCGGCACTCTAAGCTCGACGACATGTTCAGACAAGTAAACACGACACGATTTAACACTGTGGCCCGTGTCTATACGGAATCACCCAAACCGCGATTCGGGTAACTCACATTCCTCACATCTGGTCCACGTGGCACACACACCTGTGAAACCGTGTCCGAACATAATGCGCTTGAGCTACATTTATTGCTGTTTGATGATAACACGCAAGGCGGCGTGTTATTAATGTCAGAGGTCAACGACCTGCTTGCTGATGCCCCCCCTCTCAGCGTATCTCGGCCGAATGCCGACGTGGTCCCACCAGAGGCGGTGAAGCTCGCCCTAGAACGGACACATTATTTGACCATTACTGCTCTTTAAGTTGCTGCCACGTAAAAGTTGGTATTGCATATAAATAAAGAAATATCACCCCGTAATCCATGACCAGGCGAAGTCACATTGAAATCACATTGCGTTCAGACGCAAATCGCGATGCGGGGAAACCGATTCGAAACCACCTCTAGAAGTGGCTTGGGCTCGAGGCGCTTTCAATGTGATTTCGGAGCGTTCACATGGAGCCACTTGAAACCGGCTTCGGGGTAAACCACATGTAAACCGCCTTGGGTGATTCCGTTTAGACACGGCCTGTATCTGTATACGAGCCGCCAACGAACCAAATATGGACACATTGGTATGAATAATTAATCACCACTCCTGTCAATCATTCGTGATTGACAGCGTGGCCGGTCACGTTTTGGAACGTTCCAAATCGTGGTCCACCTGCGCCATGATTTGGAATACAACGTGTGGAATACCAGTTGCATTCCAAAACGTTGTCCATTCCAAAACTTGATTTGGAATAACATGCTTTGAATGCAACAAAAACTACCGAGTAGTAAGTTTGAAGCCTAAGACTAACCGTCCTCGTCCACCTCGTCAATCATCTGCTGCAGCTCCTCTCTAGAGATGCTCATGCCCAGCCTCTTCATGATCGTACCCAACTCCTTGGTGCTGATGTCACCGCCGCCATCCTCGTCGAACATGTCAAACGCCATCTTGAACTCTGCATGGAAACGTTTCATTAGAAAAGTCAATCATTGTACAGTCGGCTAGAAATCAAGTACAGAAAAAAGAGTTGTTTTTGTGGTAGTTGAATTATACGCATTTGAGATATGGCGTGGTAGGACTAACCTAATATAGATCATCACGTGTCGAATTCACAGATTTTCTGTCCTTGCCCCTTAAGGGACTCTTTCAAAGTGAAGTTGTTTATTACAAATTCATGCCCGAGGGCTAATTGCATACAGACATTGACGAGAAACATGTGGTGATATAAGACTATTTGCTAACATGAACTTCTACGTGTACGATATACTTATCGAACCTACTATCTCGTTGGTATACATACAGGATAAAAAGTAAATATGCAATATGTGAACAGGTAATAGGAACAAGGTAACTGCTATTCTAATCTATTCTATTCTATTAAACTATTCTTGTCATGCTATTAGGGGGTTTGACTTCTTCTCAGGAGGCAGTGGGAGATGAATTGTCCGACTCTTTGAAAAATAAATGGGTTGGGAGACTTTAGCAATAATATAGTCTTTTGTTGTTGGTTGAGATATGAAAAACTTGGGGAAATATTGGCGACTTCTTTCAAATGAACCCCGCTCTGCTCCGTACCAACTTACCGGAGATCTGTTCCTCCTTGAACATTACCCGAGCCTTGACATAATCGTCCGACTGGAGGGAGTAAAAAACAACATTGAGATGAGATGAGATGGTTCCTTATAACGTACATCTTGAACTCTTGATCAATAGAGTAACAAATTACGTATTGTATTAAATTATTGTATATGCATTACTGTATAAGAGAGAGAGATGGATAGAGAAGTTATAGATACGTCAATTTTGTTACTCGGGGCATAAGATAACCCCACTATATTGTAGATTGTAGTGATAGTAATATTCTGTTTGGAAAATAGAAAAGTTTTCTCCTTTCCTTATGCTTTTGGCAACATTATTCCAATCACAACATACATCATCAAAAGACAAGAAGTCGGGCCTATGGATTATTTTTAGAACCCGCATTATAGATCAGTATCTTGTCAATATGTGTTCTTTATGACAAGTTTTTTATTTGTTTCCCATACACGCAGTCCGATAGGGCATAGATGTACCACCTCATCTCAGGAACGGACCAGAAATGATGAGGTATGTACGCACACAACTGTGTGTGGGCTTTAGCGTATTATTCAGGTGTTGGTCGTTCATTTTCGTTTTTGCTATTTTCGACTTAATCACGCAGATTATAAGTTCCCCATTGATTTTAAGTTGCAAATAACGTCCTCATTTGTTGATGACCTTCTCTGCCCAAATATCAGAAGTTGTCCAAAGTTTGTAGAGCAACAAAACTGGATTTACAATTTTTTGGCATTTTTTTAATGTAGTAAGTTGAATCTACCCTATTCCATAGCATACTGATATCTATCAGGCAAAAAGACGTTGTTGCTGACGGAAGACGGTTGCTATTTTGGTGTCGTAGGCTAGTTCTGGCTATTTATGGACGCCTCACGTAGCTTGTTTTGGGTCTATTTTAAACGCTCCAATTATGAAATGATGACAAAATGTGATACGAAATGACAGTAAATGTCAATATCACACGAATTTCCTTGTTCTAAATATACTGCATTTTTTCGCCCTGAAAATTGCATTCGATACTTTTAACGAAGAAGGCTTCTGTAGCATTCTCGCATCCATAATGCAAACAATGTCTTGATTTGCATGATTTATGTTGAACTAGTGATATTTACTTTTATCTAACTTACAACGCCACAAAATAAACACGTCAATCAGCCGTGCGCGGACATCAGGGACTGGTTCATGGCGGTTGCAGACATGCCCCGGTCCCGCCAGGCTGGGGAACTCACTGGCAGACCCTGCAGTCAGTTCTCGTGACCACAAGCTTCTGAAGTATCACATGTGTGACGTGTTTAAAAGTCCTAAAATGGAAGGAAGCTAATCTACTGACTATCCTCATTAATCATACAAATTAGCTCGTGATTTGCAAAAGCAGGCTACATTTATATCTAATTATGTCACTTAACCCCCAAACAAAACCATTTTTCTTAATTTCTGGCCATCAGAATTCGTAAATGAATCTGCAGTTTTAAAAAAGCTGAGGGAGAGGCAGAGAGGGAGAGAAGGAGAGATGGAGAGGGAGAGAGAGAGGGGGGGAGGGAGGG